GCACACCCCCGCCCGCCCCTCAGGCCATGTGCCACATGGTACCACATGGACCCAATACCACTGCACCCTTATGGTGCCCACATGCTATGCTGCATAGGCGCTACCCTTTGCCATGCCATGCAGTCAGCACCCTGCACTGAACCATAGTGGGGCTCCCACCCCTCACAAGTGGCCTCAGGTCCTGCCAAACCCCCAGTTGTGGGCTTCTTCAGCCCTGTCCCCAGGGGCAGGAAATAGAAGCAGGAGGAGGGAGGGGGCCCAGGAGACCCCAATAGCATCAGTAGAACAATGGGGAGAGTGGGGGTAGACTAGGAGCCCAGGCACCACCAGTTAACCCCTCAAGGGGCCTGCAGGCCACCAGCTGGACAGCCCTGGTTTAGACAGAGATGAACTTGCTTTATACAGAGGCCTAGACTAGCTGATCTCAAGGTCCCCTCTAGCCCCATTTTTCTATGGCTCAATGATTGTATTGCCCCCCCAGTGCTGAATTAGCATACCCCAAAGTCAGCATAGGCACTCCCTATCCCTAGTGCTGGGTTAGTGCTGTTCTTTTCTATGCTGTTCTGAACCCCTGCGGGTTCCCAGGCAGGGCCTGTTGTCTATCAGCCCTCTGGGATGACATTCTGCCCCTGCCCCAGCAGCCCTGCACCCTGAAGTCAGCCAGGAAGCTTAAGCCCCAGAGGTCTAACAAGAAAATCCTCAATAGTGCTAGGAAGGTATGTTCTATAGACAGCGGCGAGAGGGTAAACTGTCCAAGGCATTGCACTCTTTCTGCAGGGCTTCTTCTCATACTTCCCTCAGATACCTCATTCCTTTGGACATCAGGGGAGATGTTTTCCTCCCTCTTTTAAGATCTAATCTTTGGAAATCATACTAAAAAAATCAGAACAGATCTTTGGAGTCCTCCTTCATTCCACAGAACAGCTACACACCACTCAGTCTTAACTCTGATGGAGAGACCACTTCCTTGGCAGTCTCAGAAATTCAGGGGATGTACAAGAAAAGGAAATTTCCTCTCTGTGAATGCACCTGGGGCCAGGTTTTTTAAACGTAGTTAGGCACCTAAAGCCGGGATCTAATGGAATTTAGTTCTTCCAGCCTTAAAAAGACTCAGGATTGTAGAACAAACATTGGTCCCAGCCCTCAGTGTCGTCATTACTCAGTTTGTCTACAAGAGAATTTTCACTGATATAACCAGTGTCTATCTAGGCTGCAGTCACTGCTGTTTGAGTACTTAACCACCTAGTGTAGATGCAGATGCACCTACATAAACAGCTCCATTAGCACAAGCATGTTCACACCAGGGAGTTGTATTAATTTAAGCTGGGTGTTGTCAACTCAGGTAAATCATATGACATGTGCATGGAAAGCAACTCCTATCTTTTCGTAATTATGAAAGTGAGTGAAGTGTGAGGCCCATTGACTAGTCTGCTGAGCTAACCAGCCCTGCAAAAAGCCAAGCACAGCTGAATTGCAGGATGAAAGCCTGGCTGGGAAGCTTTTATTATATACTGTTCTCTTTTGCTGTCTTCCCCTCACTCCCACTGCCCCTCCTTCTCTCTCTTCTCTTTCGTGGTAAAATTACTTGACATTTTCCTTTCTGCATGAAGAAAACTAAATCCAAGTATGGTTACCTGATGCAAATCTCTTATCCATCAATGGGCCTCTTCCCATGACTCAGGGTCTGCACAGAAGTAAGTCCTAGAAGATACAGGGCAACCACTTACAAGAAAAACAAAAGCAAAAACATTAAAATTGGCTTGGCCAAGTGCAGTGTTCACAGAAGCTGCAGCTCCCCTGCAAGAGCCAAAGGCAGAAACAGAGGGTCAAAAAGAGAGAGAGAAAAAAAGCACTAGTCTTGAACTTGTTCTCAAAAGCCACAAGGATCCTCCTATGTGGAAGAGTGAAGGGTGAGGTACTTTAAGTAACAGCATTTTCCACCCCCCCCCAAGGAACAAGTCACTGGGAAGACAGCCAGTTCAACAAAAGTGGGCTCTACTGGGATGGCTCCCAGAGTCCCAATAGATACCAGGTGATCTCCAGGACTGGGGGGCTGGTGCCACCACCTGGTCCACAGAGGAACAAACGCTGTCCCTTGGGGAACAGTCAGGAACTCTACATAGATTGTGTCCCTCATTCTTCCTGTTTGCAGGTATTGCTTAAGGAGAATGGGGCTCAGGCCCCTCTCTAATTATAGAGTAGGTGAGCTGGGAATGGGAAATTCTCCTTTGCTCCCAGGGTCAATTTTCTTTTCTTCTTTTTTTTTTTTAATTAAAACATTCATTCAAAGCATCCTTTATCCAACTACCGCTGTACAACCAGCATGCTGTCTAACAGGACTTTTCTGTGTCCACTGACACCAAGAAAAATATTTCTAATTTTAAAAAGCACAGGAATAAAGTGACCTGTATTGTGGTTGCATTGTAGAGGGTGTTTTCCTGTGTCAGTCATTCACTGCCTGCTATTGCCTCTCTCTCTCTCTCTCTCTTTCTCCTTGAGCAATAACATGCCCAAAAGAAATGCTAATTAGTAATGGGAAATAATCAGGAAAAAAAAGTAAATGGGAACTTCCCTCCACAGCCCCCTGAACAGTTTTTTATGATGGGAAATAATCAGGAAAAAAAACATAAATGGGAACTTCCCTCTGCAGCATCCTGAACAGCTTTTCACAAACATCTGTGCAAATGAATTGGATTTTGCCACAGCACCAAGATTTCCAAGTGTCACAAATTAAGTACCATTTCACCAAATCGGCAGGTGCCAGCAGGGGGCTCAGGAATACCACGGGTGACTCTGAATGCCATTTGCTGGGAAGAGGCATGACTTACCTGTCCTGGAAAGTGTTTCCCATCTGGGAAACTTTATGCCCAGTCAACTGAGAAATATCAGAGCAGCTTTCTGCTGGTATCTTTTTAATCACATCACGTTGCTGTGCCAGTTTGCTCATTTCTGAGATGGGTCTGACAGCTTCCACCTGCCCGCAGAAGAATTAGGAGGCTTAATGTTTAATAATTTTAGAGCCTCAGATCAAAAGGAATCCTTAGACTAGCTTCCTCAGATGCTGAAGGTAAGCTAGTGAGCCTTTTATTAATAAATACAACAGCCCTATTTCTTGCACCTGGTGCACCTATCCTGCCTTTCCTGAAGTTGCTTGGTGTGTTTGGCAAGATAAACATTGTCATTTATGTACAAAGGTAACTATGGATTTACTGATGTTTTATTTTGCATAGACTAACCCTGTGACATTTGTTCTTTTCAAGGCCATAACAAGAAGCACACCAGACCTAGAGAAAAGCAACTTCACCAATGAGTAAGTAGTGCATGAGTATTATGTTTTTCAGACAGCACACTTCCCTTTTACAGGTGACAATTTTTGTTACTATTTCACTAATCAGCTTCATAGCTTGTATGTTGCATGTCTCAGGATAGAGTAGGCCCTTTCTTCATTCTTTACTCCATTATGGCTGCATCTACATGAGATGCTGACTGCACAGTCATTACTGCAGTCATTTAGTACTTGTATAAACAAGTGGCAGGGCAGTACTTATTTATACAAATACTACTAATTGACTGAACAGGTACTAAATGACTGTGTAGTAACTGGACTTACTGCATAGTAGCATCGCTGAACAACTTTTAGGTGATGCTGACTATGCAGTAGTGTCGTGTCATGCTTCCTGCCACATGTTGTTGCTCCATGGTAGTAACGAGCTACTGCACAGTTAGTGTCCCATATAGACATGGCGTATAGAAGAGAGGATAGATACCCACAGTGCAGGTGTAGGAGTGCTGTATGTACAGGCTTCTCTGGTCCATCTGGTGGCCAAAGCAAACACTTACTCACATCAGCACTGTTAGCTGGGTGCAGACTGCAGCAAACAATACTTGCAGGAAGACAAGGATGTGCAAAGGATTTTCAGTGGTTCTCAGGTGAGCTGAGCCACCTCCTCATCACACTTCCAGCAGAGTTACTTCTTTCATCTTCATATTTATTCCCTCAGTTGCACAGTTACAGAGAAGATACTCAGCGTTTTGGCCCAAGCAGCTAGGATGTACAAAGAAGGCTGGCTGGAATAAACTTGTGGGTGTCTGTAGAGCAGGAAAGGAGAGGAAGAATGAAATAGTATTTCCATTAGCAAAAATGCAGTCTGCTCCATTACCACAGCCTTCAGGGAAGAGCCCTGGAAATAAGTCAAATGTGTGTTTTAATGGGACCCTGATGAAACTGAAAGGCCTCAATATATCACCCTCTCTCCCCAAACAGTATGGGTTTTTATTTTAAGTCCTCTCCATTTTTTAAGCAGCCTCATTTCTCTAGACTGATCTAGAATCCTTGTGAACTGAAAACCCAGGCTGTCAGACTGTGTCACCTACTCTGAACGAACACTACTGATGGATGTGACAAGAGGAGCTCACTTGCTAGTGAAACTTTTTTCCTGCCCTGGGCTCAGCAGCTCTTTCTTTTGAGTCAGCAGAAAATTGAAATGGATTAGAGTCTTCCTCTCTGAAGTGTTCAGGGAGCCATATTCTCTTCCACTTCCATCTCCAGAGATCAGGGACAAGGCAGAAAGCTCATGCAGGAGTCCTCAATGCAAATAATTTCTGAGATCTTCCAGCACCCTTGCTGCCCTATGCCCTACCATCACAATGCTTTACTTTGTCCTTTGTCATCTGATTTGTCTTGGAATGGTTGCTAAACCTTTAAGAGACCTGTCCTGGCAAAGATTCAGTCTAAATATTCCCAAGTGGAGCTTAGAAGCTACAGGCTCTAGCTAATCCATACCATCTTAAGCCTCTGGCAGAAAAGTGCTTCTCTCTCACATTTTTAATTGCAAAAAAGATCACTGAAGTTTCAATACATAAAATGGCTTATTGTGGAAAATTCTCCTAAAGGAAAATCTAGAGAATCTTTGGGTGATATGGAGAGATGGGTGAAATATGTAACAGCTGCATGTCTGTGATGGAAAAATTAGGGCCTTACATGTACTAGAGACCACTGTCTCTGCTCTACCAGTTTTAGGAAGCCTTAAGCTGATAGAAAGTAAATTATATTTTCACCTACCCTAGTATCTTTGAACCTGCTGCAGCAGCATTTAGACTCTTTTCCTGTTCCCCTTCTACAGCTGACATTAGCCAGTTAAATATGTCTACTTCTTTCTTTTTTTCTGAAGTCATTCTACTCAGCTCATGGATGGTTTTTGTTTCTGTTCTCTACATTCCCTCCAAACTGTAAATATGTTTTGGTAAGAAGGCATCTATGCCTGATGGAGCTGCATTGGTCCCCCACCCCCACTAGCCCTTCCATTTTTTTAAAAACCTGCTACACTGCAAACTTCTTTATGTGCTTCCCCCCCTCCACATTACTGTTCTTCAGGTTTCTCCATCCCATTGAGCAGCTGTGTTTTGAATTATTTTCCCCCAGATGTGTTGATCTAGTCTTTTCCAGGACAGAATATGTAATAGTTATCAATTAGATTGAATAGACAGAACGCAAGACTGCCTGAAAGCAGCTGCACTTCCCTCATTTTCACACCTGACCCTGGTGGGAGCACCTGGGGGCCTGCTCTAACATCTGCCATCATTTCAGTATTGGGCACAGTGCAGTTCTGTTCCACCATGCCCTCTACACACCATGTCCAGCACCTAGAACATCTCTCTCACTTACCCATGTGGCTGGTGCAGACTGGTTGTTAGTGCTCTCTTCTAGCAAAGAGTTCCCTTACATAAGAAAAACCATCTGTTAGCTATCACTGGATATTTTAGGCAACTCTAAGTAGACCAGATAATTCAGCTATTTAGGTTTTCAGATAATATCTGCAGGACCATATTACACTTCCCTGGAACCCTATAGGTTTCATCCCTATTGTATTCTACAGAAGTTTTCACACTGAGGGAGGTAAATACAGTAAAGACTAAGCAGCTTCTTGTCTTTTCCAGGCAATCATCCCCTCCCTTCATTAGTTTTCAGTTCAGTCCTGGTTGTTCATTGGATGTGAGCACGTGACTTTTTAAGTTGACAGTAAGTGTGGTTTTTCATTAAGTTTGGTTTATACTGAAAGAGATTTTCTGTCACCCTTAAGTCACTGGTGAAGGCCAAGACACCAGGAATAATTAGGGGGAAAAATACTATGTAAAGAGTGAGAGAAACAGTGAACCTTTTGTGAGTCTTCAAATGGAATCTTAGAAATCTTCCCAGGGGCTCTATTCCTGATCCATCATTCAACACTAATACAAACCTAGTGGAGGGCCTGTTGCATGGGAGGATGTAATCAATAAATCATGTGCCAGTTGTAGGCTTAAGTTGGATTTCTACATTTCCTTTTTGCAACTGTTGCAAAGTATTTGTACCTTTTGGTTGCTACATGTTTCCATCTTCTGGGCATTGATTTCAAGCATTTTCCCAGACTAATTACTGCATGAAAATCCAATTATTTCCACTCTGTCAAAAGAAGGAAATTGAATGGAGGAATCAGCTGAAGCCTCTGCTTGCTAAATACAGATTGCAACCATCTATGGCTCTGCCAATGTGCCATATAAGTAAATTGCCTTTCTTTTCAGAAACCCACATGACTTGTCATACCAGTTGATCACCAGCTGGTCTACACAGGAAGTACAGGGTCTGAATGGGCCTCCCAGGCCACTGAGTCCAATTCCCTGTATTCACAAGCAAACATTTACCCCAGATCCCTAAAAAATTATCCGCTCTTTATGGACCATAAGGCACAAAACCAGAAACACCAAGAATGCCCTACAGCAGGCCACAAGTAGAAGCAGGGAAGACAAAGGCATTGCCAGTGCCCTGCCACTTTGATGGTAAAGAAGTAATTGGTTAATGTATGCAAAGAGAATCCTAGGGCGAGGATAACTCCGCATGCTACAGAAGAATATACACTACCCCTCCATGCTGAAAACTGCTTCTAGGTAACCATGAAACAACTGCTCATCAGGTATATATGCCTCCCAGGGATACCATGCATGTGTTCAATACTGCTTATTTTGAAAACTGAATATAGTCTAGTGTTCGAGAAGAATTCTTAGGTTCGTTCACTTATGATTCTCATCAGTGCATCCTACTTGGTTCTGACAACTCAGCATGTGAGCTTCCCAAATGATTTTAGTTGGCAGATGCAATTGGTAGACCATTCAATTTTATCCTCACAGGACTTCAGGTAAGTCTATAGACACTAGTTAATGAGTCCTGGAATGCAGCTGGCACCATGCCATTTGATATCTCTTCCCTACTTAGGAACTAAGTACGTAAAAATGTGAAGAAATTGTCTCTTTCCTTTTGTTTTTTCCCCACCATTGGAGTCACAAAAACTAGCCTCACCAAAACCCACATTACACTGAATGTCACAGAAGGAGGAAACAGTTTAATGACCTCCCCCAAGAAACCATACTTGTACTGCTGTTATATAGCATCTATACGAATGACCAACTGACTGATTTGGAAACAACATGTTTCATCTATGCAGACAATCTGTGCATAACAGCCCAAAACACTGGCTTTGACCATGTTGAAAAATCCCTGAGGCACTAATTGGCCTAACCTCATACTACATTGAAAACCAATTACATACCAACCCAGCAAAAACACAGGTATGTGCCTTCCACCTGAAAAACCATGAGGCCAACCACCAGCTTAACATTACATGTTGTGGGACCCCACTGTCTGATTGTTCAAACCCATTTTACCTTGGAGTCACCCTCAGTTGAACTCTCTCATACAAAAAGCACGTAATGAAAACAAAGGCAAAGGTGAGCACTCGGAACAACATTTTATATAAGCTCACCAACTTGAAATGGGGAGCTAGCTCCTCAACCACAGAATCATAGAAAATGAGGGCTGGAAGGGACCTCAGGAGGTATCTACAACCCCTGCTCAAAGCAGGACCATCCCCAACTAGATCATCCCAACCAAAGCTTTGCCCAGCCAGGTCTTAAAACCTCCAAGGATGGAGAGTCCACAACCTCTCTGGGTAACCTGTTCCAGTATTCTACTACTCTCCTAGTGAGAAAATTCTTCCTAATATCTAACCTAAACTTTCCTTCCTGCAACTTGAGACCATTGTTCCTTGTTCCATCATCATCTGCCACCACTGAGATCAGTCTAGCTCCATCTTTCAAGCCTCCCCCCTACCTTTCAGGTACAGGTTTCCTTCACCAACCATTGGGGTTAGGTTCCTGAAAGTTTCCATGGTTGGCAAAACTGTAGTTGGCAAGACATAGTTTCATAGTTTCATAGTTTCATAGATTAAGGGTCGGAAGGGACCTAGTAGATCATCTAGCCCGACCCCCCGCCAGGGCGGG